GACCTGCGACGCAGTCTGGCCGCCGTAGCTGACCACGCCGCTGGAAACCACGGCGGCTTCCTGGGCCAGGTCAACCTCGGCAACCTCGAAGCCCTGCAGGGCGCAGGCCCTCATGAGCCCCATGGCGCACAGACGAACCAGCTGAGTCCATCTTTCCACCACGCCTGTCATGGCGCGGTCGCCCGCGCCAGCGAGCCGTCGCCCGATGTTCAGCTCGCCAGAGGTCCTCGACGCCAGCTCCGAGACTAGGCCCGTTCTTGACCGAGAAGCATGATGCCCACAGGCCCAAAGTAGCGGGCGCAGGCACGCATGATGGTCGTCAGCAGACCTTCGGCGCGCGAATTGTCAGGGCGCCTGCCACTTTATATATCGAGTTCGTCGATGATCAGGATCGACGTCTGATCCCGCATGAAACAGGTAACAAGTCCTACTGAATTCTACAAGCGACTCGCACCGGCACGGTCATTCCAGCTTGCGGCTCGGTCATTGGCCGCACATTTTCGCGACGCGAAAAGCAGGCCAGCGCGACCACGGGGATTACACCGCTAATGAACTTGGCCCCACACTCCGCACTCTTGAGAAGCACGATCGCGTCCGGCACCGGTGCGCGCACCATTTCTCCATCGCGATCTCGGGCTCCGCCTTGGGCCCCTTATTCTCCTTCTTCGGTTGAGCTGCTACATACAGAGCCGGAGGAGGAGGCGGTGCAACCTCTGCGCCCGGTGCTTCGGGAAGAGCCTGAAGTTCTCGATCATCCCCTACCTGCGGAAGAGCCACCAACGGCTTGGTGGCCAGCTCGTCGTCGTCCTGCGGCTCCTCCTTGGCCTTGTCGACTATCCCCCGCTTGATCACTGGCTCGCCCCCATCCTGCTAGCGCCCAGCTTGACAGAACGACCCAGTGGAGCCGCGGCCCCGGACGGCACTGGATCGTCGTCGTACTGCTGCTCCTCTAGTTGCGCTGCTGAAACTGCTTTCGCCTTTGGTGCTCTCTCGGCTGCAGCGCGCGCGTAGGTAACCAGTACGTGACCGGAATCTGGCACGATTGCCGAAAGCAAGAAAGGAGGTTCTGATGATGCACATCTGCCATGTCCCATCTGCATCGGTAGACAAGAGGAAAAACAAGCAGGAAGCCCTGAGCGGAGGCTCGAAGGCTGCCGACCGCAGCCTGACATCCGTTCTTGCATGTCATTGCGCGCGATGCTGATATGATTCAGTCACTTCTCGCAGTTCTCAGGCGCAACCGCAGGCAGCTCAATACCGAAGTATATATCCTCAAGCATGGCTTCATAGGTGCCTTCCCGGTGTCTCTTCATGCCGTCGTTGCACTCGGTCGGCAAGAGGTTTGTCCCGTTCCACTTCGCCGCCTCGAATGATCTCCACTTCTGGTGGAAGGTCCGACACGTCATCTACTCGCCGCGGTAGGCGCCGTTCGCGCCGGCGGCGCTCGGTCTCGCGCCTGGCGCGCTGAATCTCAACATGCGCGCGAACAGTCGGCGGCCCCTGCCAGGTCCGCTTCGTCGCCCCGATACCGATTGAAGAGTGAAACTTCACAGCTCGAGTTCGTCTGCTTCGCGCGTTCGCCCTCCAAGATCGGATCCAAATATGGCCTTGCTGCATTGCGAAGTCGGTCGCGTTCCTTTCCAGCGCCGGCGCTCGGATCGTCGATCGGTGAAATGCGGCGCCCGGGCCATGCGCGCATGGCTCGCAGGGGCGCCGCGGGCCCGAGCTTGCGACGAAGACCGCCCAGGTCGTCGACGATGAGCACCTCGACCTTATTCAGCAGCATCCACGTCGAGAGGCCCATCGCGTCGTTGATCATGCTTGCAAGCGGCATCAGAAGAGGGAACCCGCCGCCGGCGCCGCCAAGCACGCCCAACGCGAAGCTGCTGTTCGGAAGCGCCTGCAAGCTCAAGGGTAGCTCGCCCAGTCGAAGCGACGGGCTCGCAACTCCGTCGACGCCTGCTGAAAGCATGGCCGTCGAGCTCGCAACCTCCAGGTGATGGCCCTCAAGCCAAGGTAGAACCTCGCAGATCTCGCGCGGGGTCTCCGTTCCCCCCGGACCCTCGGCGGCGCCCGGGTCGATGAGCAGTCCGAGGCGCCGCTTGCCTCGACCGGAATGGCAGGCGCAGGGCGCGCCGTGCTCCTTGATGCCGTCGCCGTCGCTAAAGAAGTGGCTGCTCTGCATCGACGCGCGCAAGATGTCCGAGATGGATCCTCTCGGTGGCGAGACAAGGGTTCGCGCTGACGTTGCGCTGAATAATGATGATCTGGCGCGCCTGTGGTCGGTGCCCCTGCTCATCCTCCACGGTGGAGGTCGAAGGTCTCGCCGGTCTCGATGGAAAGTCGCACTTCGCTGTTGTCGGTTGAGATCCAGGTCCCATCCTGGGCTGCGCTGCTGTCTGGGTGCCAGGGTCGATCTTGTGGCAGAACGGGTCGCCGTTCACCGTCTTTTTCGGCATCTCGTGAGTCGGGTCGAGCAGTGATGTCTTGGGCACCGATGGTCCTACGACACTTTGATCGTGGTCGTCGAGTTGGACTCATGATTTCCCCCCTTCTTGGGTCCTTTGCGAAATCGGCGGCTTGGGTAGTTATTTGCATGATCTACTCCGCCCTGATATGCTGCCGGGTCCAAGTCGGCTGATCGCTCTTCGGAGCAAGACTCGACCATCTCATCGTCCTGCTCGTCAAGCTTGAACGTCGGGCATTCGTGGACCTGAGAGTCGCACCATTCAGCCGCACCTTCTTCTTTCGTCGGCGACGTAGGCGCACGCGCGCGCACGCCGCGACTGAGGTGCCCCAAGAGCCGGCGCTAGATGGGGCCGAGGACGGCGAGGGCCCTCTCCTCGGAAGGTCCTCGCAAGCGCGAAGGTTCATTACGATGTCAGCCAGCATTGCATCCATGGCCACTGGGCTTCTGTCCGCCTCCTTGTTGACGTTGTCGAGGCTGCCCCCCGTCGGCCAGGCAGTCCTTGTTCTCGTGCCGCGTGCGCTGCGTCCACTGCCGCCGCCGGACCCACCTGATGTCCTGTTATTTGCGCTCGTCTTGCCGCCGCTCTTGCCACCCAAGAGGGACCGCTGCCCGTCGTTGTCTTTGCCGCCCCATCGATCTATACCTCGTCATTTTTCCGCCACTTCGACCTCGACCGATGAAGCGTCCTCGTCCTTTACCTTTTCTCCGGGCACTTCCTTCGCGCCGGTAATTGTTGCCATATCTGGAGCCGGGTCGAAAGTCGGGGATCTTCTGACCCGGGTCAATCCAGACCCGAGACAGCAGGAAACCAAAAACTGCAATGGAAAGAAAATTGCAACGCAGGTCTTCGCAAACCCGGGGCCAATATGCGCGGCCGCCTCGCGGCCACGAACGGCTCGCTATGCGGGTCAGCCAGAGGAGGTCTTCGCAGGATCCTGCAGGATCTGGCGCCGTGGCTGACCCCCGTTTGCATTGACCCCCGTGGCTCCCGAGAAAGCCACCCATCTAATATGCCAGTTGCAGCTCCTCTTGATCAAGCCAGGCCTCGATATCCTCTGTTTCGCACCAGATGCCGTCATCGCCGTACGCACCGTGGCTTATCTCTCCTGACTCGGTCCAGTACGGTCTGTAGCGCAGGCCACTGTCCTCAGCGTACGTCCAGCCACCTTCGCAGTCATGATCGTAGTCCAGCACGTGTTCTGTACAGTCGTATTCTTCGGCATCGTGGTGGCCTGAGCTGCCTGCGCTGAACTTTTGCCTGACGATCCTCGTGAGCATCGAGTAGATTGTCAGGAACTTCTCCAAATCTCCGTCACAATGTAATTTAATGTACGAGATGCGTACGGATGGCAGTCCATTCCATTTGAACAGCACGTGCGTGAGTCCAACACTGCTGATCGCTAGGTCGGCCTTGTCATTCGTTTCCGTATTTATTCGTTTGTATGTTTGTTTTTTCTCTCTCTCTCTCTCTCTCTCTCTCTCTCTCTCTTTCACTCTGAGATTCAACAGATTTTCCTGCAAGGTCTGGTGCCCGCGTCCCGCGTCCAGGAATCTTTCCAAAAAGTCGCCCTCCTTGTCTTGATCACGTGCTTCGAACGCCTCCGTCAGCTTCTGCACCAAATGTCCTGCTCCAGTTATACCTCTCTCTAGGAGGAGGATCGCTCCATGGTAATATCGCTCCTTGTCTACGCGGAGAAGGTAACGCTACATCTCCTTTTTACTTCTGACCGTCCAGAGCGACTTCCAAGCTCATCGCAATCGTGAATGCTCTGTTCAGCAGTCTTGGTGCCATGATCGGCCCAGCTGCTCTTTCATCCAGTGGCGCCAGGCGCCACCAGAAATGGAGTCTTTGCATATACGTTTTGAATTGGTACGTGTCATCGAAGCTTCCAGCCTGGCAACACATATTGGGTGAACTCCTTGTAATCCAGCTTGTGTCTTGTAATCCGTCACCTGGTCAATCGTCAAACCGATCACAATTTCCACGAAAACTCTAACAAGTCGGTTCCCGGCAAGCGGCCAGGCTTGGCGAAGAGGATAACTTCCGCGAAATGCTCGGGAACAGCGTACTTCAAGACCTGGAGAGGGGCGGTGATCTCTTCCGTGTCGGAAGTGCTGACCTTCGCGTCCAAGGTGAAGGCGGAGCGCTGCGCTGGCAGCGCGACGCCGAAGATCGTGCTCCTCGGGTATCAGCGCCAGGCGGCGCCGGAAGCGCGCGGGGGGGGCCGCGCGCGTGTTGGAGCCGTAGTTCCGCTACCAAGTTGGATTATTATGTAGAGTCTGTCATCACTGCTCTGCTGTCAAGCTGCTCTGTACATCTCACTACCCCTGAACTTAAACCACACTTGACCTTAGCCAAGGTCCATGATATGCATCGGAAATCTCACTGGGGAAAGGAAAAAGGGGGAAGGGGGAAGGGGGGAGGGGAGAGGGGAAGGGGGGGACGGGGGGGCGATGGCGAGATGCCAAGCAGCTGTTGCTGCTGCTGCTGCCGCCGCCACCGCCGCCGCCGCGGGGCGCCGCAGCGGGCCTCCGAGCGCTATGATCGGCGCCGCGACCGCCACGAGGAAAAAGACGGGGAAGTCCTACTCCAGCGAGGATGGGCAGGAGCGGCACGAGTCAGACAAGTACAGCCGACAGGTGTCCACAAGAACATGCATAAAGAGTGCGCCCTTTCGCCGAAAGCCAAGGACACGACGCAGATGCCAACAAAACGTTTCTACGTCGGTGGGTGGCCAACAGGCGAAGAACCGAAGGGAACCCCTCCGAAGCAAGGGTTCTTCTCACTCGTGCCAGCTGTAGTATTTTGAGGATCAGGAGGTCAAAGGAGAAGGAGAAAGAGGAGGAGGAGGACAGGGGGATAACAAGGAAGAAGAGCAGAACCAAGCTCACCTCCGCGCAGGACCCTTCCGGCCCCCCGGAGGTCACATCCCAAGAAGAAAGAGGCAATGCAGCAATCACGCCGAAAAGTCTGGGCAGGAGCCAGGAAGTGCCAAGGGGGGTCACCAGTAGGGAGGTCACCACGCCCTCGAAGAAACGGACGCGATCGAGCCCGATCGCAACCACTTCGTTCTTATCGTCGACCCCTTGGGGCGGATCACAACCGGTTGTAATCGGGCCGAAGTGGTTGCGATATGTTGGGGAAGTGTGCTGGTATCGCTTTGATTACGGAAAAAGTTCCCAAGAACGCTTCTGAACGCAGCGGGTTCTCTTAATCGAAGACGCCTACGGCGAATCACCGCCGCCCCCTGCCTTTTTGGAAACGCCTATGTGGCCGAACGTTGAGGTCAGACCTGCCAAGCTATCGGACCATGTGTTCCCAGAATCGGTTTGGAAAGCCTTCGGGGAACACGTGGGCATCTTGAAGGTCATCTTGGCCACCTGGAGGCCATTTTGACCCTTTCGGGCCTTCTTGGAGGACATCTTGGAGGGCTCTTGGGCCGTCTTGGAGGCCATCTTGAGCGTCTTGGAGGCCTTAAGCCGTCTTGGGGGCCTCTTGGGGCCGTATTGGGCCTCTTGGGCGATATTTGGGGGCACTTGGGCCGTCTCGGGCCGTCGGAAGGCCGGAAAAAAAACAAATGCCACAATCATCAAAAACTCATGGGAAATGAATAATTTTTGCCTTTTCGGGCCTTCCGGGCCTCGTGGACCGTCTTGGGCCATCTTAGTGCCACTTTCGGCTGTCTTGGTGGGCCCCTGGCGCGTCCGATGCCGTCTAAAGCCGTTTGGGGAGCCTCTCTGAGCCGACTTGGGGCCCTCTTGGAATGCTCCAGGGCCGTCTTGGAGACCATCTTGGGCGTCTTAAGCGCCTCCTGGGCCGTCTTGGGGGCCTCTTAAGGCCGTCTTGGGGGCCTCTAGGGCCGTTCTGGGGCCATCTTGGAGGCCGCTTGATCGATCTTTGGGCGATCTTTGGAAGCTCTTGGGCCGTATCGGGCCATCGGAAGGCCGAAACGAAGCAAATGTCAAAATCCTTCAAAAACCGACGGAAAAACAGTGTTTTGGGCATTTTCTGGCCTTCCTGGAGGCCCTTTTGGAGGCCTCCTGGGCCGTCTTGGGCCAGCTTCGAACCAACTTCGGCCATCTTGGTGGGCTCCTGGCCCGTCTGACGCCGCCGGAAGCTGTTTGGGGGGCCTTTCTGGGCCGACTTGGGGCCCTCTTGGGGTGCCCCAGGGCCGTCTTAGAGGCCATCTTGGGCGTTTGGGGAGCCTCTTGGGTCGTCTTTGTGCCCTCTTGGGGCCGTCTTGGGGGCCTCTTGGGCAGTCCTGAGGCCATATTGGAGGCCTCTTGGGCGCTGTGGGGGCGATCTTGGGGGCCTCTTGGGCCGTCTTGGGTCGTCGGAAAGCCGAGAAGAAGCGAATGCCAAAATCCTTCAAAAACCGATGGAAAATCAATGATTTTGGCCTTTTCGGGCCCTCCTGGAGGACCTCTTGGAGGCCTCTTGGGCCGTCTTGGAGGCTTCTTGGACGAACTTGGAGGTATCTTGGACTCTCTTGGGCCGTCTTGGAGGCAGTCTTGGACCATCTTGGGCGGAATTGGAGGCCATCTTGAACCATCTTGGGGGCCATCTTGGGCCAACGTGGCTATCTTGGCGCCATCTTGAGCCGTCATGGAGGATTTTTTTCCCAAATTGAGGTCCTTCCCGGGACCCCTGGGGACGCGCCAGAGCCCCAAGGGGAGTTTTTCTGGAAAAGAACCAAAACCGAAATCGTCTAGCACGCCAGGCACCCCTGCGATGAATCGACAGGGGGCGGCGGACTATCGAAGACGCCTACGGCGAATCACCGCCGCCCCCTGCCTTTGTGGAAGCGCCTATGTGGCCGAACGTTGAGGCCAGACCTGCCAAGCCATCGGACCATGTGTTCCCCGAATCGGTTTGGAAAGCCTTCGGGGAACACGTGGGCGTCTTGATGGTCATCATCGCCGTCTTGGAGGCCTCTTGGGCGATCTTTCGGCGATCTTTGGGGGCTCTTGGGCCGTCTCGGGCCGTCGGAAGGCCGAAAGAAGGGAAATGTCCAAATCCATCAAAAACCTTAGGAAAATCAGTGATTTTGGCATCTTTTGGCCTTCCTGGAGGCCCTCTTGGGGGCCTCTTGGGCCCTTTTGGGCCAGCTTCGAGCCAACTTCGGCCATCTTGGTGGGTTCCTGGCACGTCTGACGCCGTCGGGAGCCGTTTTGGGGGCCTTTCTGGGCCAACGGGGGACCCTCTTGGGGCGCTCCAGGGCCGTCTTGGAGGCCATCTTGGGCGTCTTGGAGGCCATCTTGGGCGTGTTGGAGGCCTCTTGGGCCGTCTTGGGGCCCTCTAGGGGCCATCTTGGAGGCCACTTGGGCCATCAGGGGGCTCTCTTGGGGGCCTCTTGGGCGATCTTGGGGGCTTCTTGGGCCGTCTTGAGCCGTCGGAGAGCCGAAAAGGCGCAAATGCCAAAATCCTTCAAAAACCAAGGGAAAATCAATGATTTTGGCCTCTTCGGACTCTCCTGGAGGACCTCTTGGAGGCCTCTTGGGCCGTCTGGGAGGCCTCTGGGGGGCCTCTTGGGCCGTCTTGGGCCGTCTTGGACTCTCTTGGGCCGTTTTGGAGGCCGTCTTGGACCATCTCGGGCGGACTTGGAGGCCATCTTGGGCCATCTTCGCGATTTGTTGAGGATGTCCCGAGCGAAACGGCCGTTTTTTGGAGGATTTTTTGCGGTCGTTGAGCACGTTTGGGGATTTTCCGGGTGGCCGGCGGGTTCTGCCGGAGCCCACTGGGGAGTTCTTTTGGAAAAAGAACCAAAACCAAAACCTAACAGCTCGTCCAGCACGCCGTGCACCCCTGCAAGCAGGGGGCGGCGGACTGAATGGCTTTCGGCCCATACCGCCACCGTGCCTGTGCTGCGGGTCGTACTTATCACGGATTATTATTGGAATTTCTTCGGGACGCCCTCGGGGGCCTCTTGGGAGCAGGAGCAGTTTTGGTGCCTCTTGGGGCCTTTTGGAAGCACGTTGGGGCCTGTTGGGGGGCTTTGGGGCCTCGTGGAGGCCTCTTGGGGCCTCCTTTGGGCCACTCGGGGCCGAGGGCTCGACATGCCCGCTCAGGTTCGATCACGCGCTTGATCGCCTGTTTTCTTTTTTGTTTTCCGAACGGGCTTCTGAGGCGGCGATGATCGTTAGCACTGACGCCATCCCACACATCGCGGAAAATTTTCTCGCCTTCGCACGTGGATGGGGTCTGATTCGCGGGCGGCGTCGATATTGTCAACCGGGACACGAACGCCAACCACGTCGCCAATAAGGCGGAAAAGCTGAGTGCGAGGCGTTCAAATGTGCCGCGTGATGGCGCGGCCACGGAGCCCCCAGCAATCGGGCTTCGGGACGGCCTGGTTCGGGAAGCACCAGTAGACTGGGGTCGCCCCATTCCGCCAGGTAGGGCAAACGTGGATCTGCCGCAGCGGACTCACCAAGTGGGCGAGATGTCTCAAACGCGATCTGCAAAAGTGCGTCTGGGTTGTGGTGACGGAGAATGCCCTCCATGACTGGGAAGACACATCTGCCGTCCTGCACCGCAATGTTTCTCGCCTGGCGCACATGGCAGCGTTCGCCGCCCGGATGTTCGGCGCGCGCAGCCGTGTCCAGGACGGGGTAATCACCGGGCCATCGCCCGCAGGAGTGAAGATGGCGCCCCATGAATAAGCCTCCGCGCGTCGTTTCCTCGAACTTGGCGGCTGACTGGCAAATCTCGGGATCGGGGCACTTCCAGAGGATGCGCGCACCAAGTGGAACAACGTGACCTCGGAAAGACCCTTTTAAATAAAACTTCGCGCGAAGCGCGGTCTATGCGCGCTTCGGCTAACGCAGCAACGCCGCGACAGGGAGTTGCAGCATAATGACATAATTACGTCCGCAGCATCGAGCCCGCATGGCCCCCTGCCACCATTCGCGACCCAAGCCGGAGTTGCGGAGAACAGCGCGAGCGCCCTGGATGACGGACTGAGCAGCGCGCTCAGCGAGACCGCCGGTCCGCGGCCGGCGAAACGCGCTCGCGTCGCGGCGCCATCCCAGGAGCCGGCGGGCCTTGAACTGTTCGCCAGGGCTGCCTGCGCAAATGCGCTGTCCTTAGTCGCCGGGGGCGAGAAACTGCAAAAAGGACGCCTCCGTGGTCTCGGCGTCGCTGCGCCTTGCTGGGCAAGCCACAGTGGCGCCCGTGCACTCGTCCAGAACAACTACGGCGCGCTTGTGACCGCGCTTGTCCACGGCGTCGTTTGCGGCGAGGGCAATGCGCCCAGCGGCGAAGGCCTCGCCGAAGCGCACGGGCACGAAAGCCGCAGGCTGAACGTCTTCATCGGTCGGCTGCGCCGGTGGATTCGGCTCGCGCTCGCGTCTGCAAGGCGCGTTATGCGCCAGGGTGCGCGCGCCAACTACACAGTCGGAATGTTTCGGGCTGTGAGTAACATGATGCGCAGGGTCGATGGCTGGCCGAGGTCGGCCCAGCAGCGCCCTGTCGCTCGGTGGCGGCGCAGACGCAGGTGTCTCCACCAGCCGGCCTTCTTCGCCCACGAGATTCATGGGATCTGCCTGAAAGGTGCCACGGCGCGCGTGCGACGCGCACTCGCGC